TGTCAAAATAATCTTTCCCATATTTCAGAGAATAAGTTACTCCATAAAAACATTTTTTCAGATAGAATTGAACAGCACCCAGCTGTGGTGGAAAGGTCCTGAAAGCCTGGTCTTTACGGGAGCTGTAAGAAAAGTCAGGAGGAACAAATTGTAACAGTTGGGCTACAATTAATTTGGCTTTGATGACAAGGTATTCCTATACAGTTTTCACTATTCTATACTTAAACTTGACTTGGAATAATTTCCCTTCACTCCTTTCCTCCCAATCTCTTCAAAAGTACAACCAGTTTTTCTGCTGATCTGGGTGAGGAGGAAGGTTTGTTATTAGGTTTGCAATTCTTTAAAGAGAGTAGCAGAGACTGGCATCCTGGTTAATGCCAGTCCCCTCACGCTTACATTTGACAGCACCCATTTCTGACTGTGTCTAGCAAGGAGGTCTCTAAACTGTGAATGGCTTAACCTATATCAGCCTGAAAGCACTGTTCTGCCTAGTTACCAAAGTGCTTTGGAAAATTAACTATTGGATTTAGCAAGTGAACACACAACGTCCCACCAATTACTAGGTTGCTAATAGTATTTTACACCACATTGCCATCAGGAATACAGTGATTTAGCAGCAGAACAGTCTCTGTATTCTCAGCATAGCTGCTTTCATTTAGTTGAAAGCAAGGTGAGGAAGATTATAATCTTGTATGTAATGAGCTCTGAAGAAAGGTGTGTAGTCTGTAATTTCAGATGCCTTTAGAGACAGGTTATATCTACAAATATTATCTGGGAACATATCAATCAGCTGACTGTGTAACTGTGTTTTATTTCTTCAAAGAGCACTACAGTTCCACATAAATGTTCCCTGTACTTCCTTTTGGAATAGAGGCAAGGGCTTCATTTCCATTTTAGCAGAGATATTAGGTGACCTGCCAATGTAACCACAGCTATATATGGAAGCAGAACTAGGTTTAAGACTTAGATTTCCACTGTCGCCTCTTTAGCTTGTAGTATATTTACCTTGAATTCTTAGTCCTTAATAAATTAATAGTAAATAGTAAATAAAACTTCAAATGTTTGCAAATGATGCTTCTATATCTAGTAACCTTAAAATCAGCTTTAGCCCTCAATTAAACAAACTCACCAGTTAAGAATAGTTTAGGGAATCAGAAAGCAGTAAGAGGTGTCTGTTGAGCACTGTGTGCTCAAATACAATTTGTCTTCTTCAGCACAGCCCTGTCTGTCACAATCTGTGTGGTTTTACTTTTGACGTGTTTGTAAATGGATTTAATAGGCCTATACCTAATCACAGAAGATGGTCTTTCAGACAGATGTATGCAGCCTCTGTTTATAAAAATGTAGTTATCACTGAGTGGTGTCCTTACATATATGGCAAAAAGTAAAGACCCTGAGCAAGCTTTAGCTAGGCAAAGTTAAGCCCTGGAAGAAATTGGGGTTAGTCAGAGCTCAGCTGTGGAATTTGTATTCTGAATTCCTGTTTTATTCCTGTAAGAGAGAATATTTGTTTTTTATGAGTTATTCTGGGTTAGCTGTAAGTTTTATGTATAGGCAGTGGTCCTTGGGAACAGATTTTATGAGCTATACAGTTGCTTGCCATGAAATTTGATTTATGATACTAATCAGTTTTTGAGGCTGAGCTGCTTTCTCAAGTTGAATGTTAAAGTATGCCTCTGGAAAGCAGAGGTGGCTGTGCTCCGACCTGCTCCTGTCCAGAACTAATGAAGATGTGTAAATAAGATAAAATACAGTGTGAACACATTCAGACTTCAAGGCTTCCCCCTCCCCGCCAAAAGTCCTATCTTATACATTTCATACTGCTCAGCAGAGTGGAGTAATTTGTGTCAAAAGGGACTAATAGTAATTAAGATGAGAGAACAGTGCTAATGTTATTTGAGGTGACTTTTGTTTGTTTGGAGTGAATTCGAGGAGAAAGTGGAAAAAAAATCAGTGTTTCTAATAGCAGCTACAAAACACTGACAGATTATGAGATCACTATGATTCCCTTTTACTTTCAGGTTTCTAGCAGAGACAAGAATCTCTATGCCATTATTCTTTTAAAATAAACCTTATTAGCAGTTCTGAAAATAAAACAAATTTACACCTCTACAGAAGTAGAGATTAACTCACTTTTAACACTTGTAAACCAAGATCGAGTCATCAGGCTTTTAAAGATATGCAAGATTTCTTTTAGATTTTTCATTCTCATTTTTTGATAGCATAAAGAATATCTATTAGTAGTTTAGAAGGGAAAAAAAAATCACAACCTGTTTGCTATAGTGTGTGTGGATTGTTTTTTTCTTAACTTCTGTAGGTTTTTTTTAAATGACAAAAAAAATCCATGGGATGCCAAACCACCACAATGATTAAGCATGAAAATGAAAGCAAAAT